CAACAACCAGCTGGGCACACCTAGCAACAACCAGTTGGGCACACCTAGCAACAACCTGCTGGGCACGCCTATGAACAACCAGCTGGGCATGCCTATGAACAACCAGTTGGGCACACCTATCAACAACCAGCTGGGCACACCTAGCAACAACCAGCTGGGCACACCCAGCAACAACCAACTGGGTTTTAACAACAACACCTCAGGTGCATTCTTTTTTAGCACCGCCCCACCTTCAACCTTTCAAGCTACCACCAATATGCCTGGCACTGGGAACAGTAACTTACCGACTGCCAGCACCTCTCAAGGTCCACTGGCATTCATGGGACCTGCAGCTCCTCTGAGTGGTGGAAACTTTGGAAACAACACATTTGCCCAAGGCCCCAGTGTCATATCAGGAGCAACTGACCAGGGAGGACAAGCGAGAGGGACAACTAGCACCAGCAGGCACCGCAACAGGAAAAGCCGTCTCCAGGTGCTGCTGCATTAGGAAACGCTGATTCTACATCTAGACTCGGACATTCTTCCAATATCATCTATATTACCACACCTGGAGCCTCACCTGCTCAAAGCATAGGCAGTAGGATGGGAGGGGACCCTCTCCCCATGTTCGGAAGACTCTGTTCTCTTGCTTTCCATCAGTGCTCTTGTGGCACACCTAACTCTACACTGGAAGGAGCCACTGCCAAGCAGGAAACAGGTGTTGGAGACACATCAGTTACCAACTGTCATCAGAGAGACTGAGGCTCATCTAGCCACACTACATCTATTGTGGCTACAACATAGCATTCTCCCTGGACTTGTCATTCAAATTCCAGGCAGTGAGGACTCACCTGCCCAAAACATGGACAGTATCATAGAAAGAGACATCATCTCTGTGGTTAGAGGCCCTCATGTTTCCTCTTTCCACTACAAGACCTGGGGTCCACTTGGACAAAGTTTAGGTGGTACACCCAGCCAGGGAGGACAACCAAGAGGGACACCTAGCACCAGCAGGCACCACAGTAGGAAAAGCCGTCTCCAGCTGCTGCCGCAGTAGGAAATGCTGAACAGTGAACACCTGAGTCCACTTGGACAAAGTTCAGGTGGTACAGTAAACACCTGGGGACCACTTGGACAGGGCCCAGCTGGTGCTGTGGGAAATAACTGCATCTCCATCTCACAGAACATTGGCTAACCTGGACAAAACATAGGTTCAGAATAGGACACAGGACCATGTGGTTTTCTACATTTCCCTTTACTCATTGGCCTCAATAGGTCCTTACCTTTAATACACTTTGTACATAATGTAAATAAAATTTGCTTAATCTGTTAATCCACTTTTCATGTGCCTTTGCTCTTTGACTCAACTGTGGAGGAAGAATTGACATGTATGAGCGGTAACATATTGACTTCATGCAAAACTTCATGTCCCAGGGAATTGGATATGAAAGTAGCCACCTTGTAGGATTGCCTGTGCTTGCTTCTGAGGTCTCTGGGTCTTGAGTGTCAGAAATGACAACCCAGGGGGATGGAAATCCAGGGGAGGAGTGGACCAAGAGGCTGATCCTCAGCTCTTCCCTCTGTGCTTCTCTCCACCACTCTGACATCATCGGAGGATAGATCCTCCCTGATACATGTTAGAAAACCACATTTCGTTATTTTAATTTAAAAAATTGTCTAAATGTCTTTTTTGGTGTGTCTTTTTCTTTAATTTAGACTTAGGTCAGTCATCACTTTACTCAAGGGTAGGCTTGTCATCTATAGTCTTGTATCTAGAGAATAAAGCAAGGAAGAACTTGTGCATGCTCTGTAATTATTAAAAATTAAAGTTTACTCTGAATTTATCATGCTGCTTAAAAATATCAGAAAAGATTCTCTTTGATAACTGGTCTGGCTCTAGTCTAAAGCACTAAGCTAATCAAGTCACAGAAGTTACAATTATACCCAGATCTGGCTGACCCAAGAGTTTTGCTGGATCTTCACTTCATTTAATTGCTGAAAAGAGTATTTTTCTAAGGCATTCCAAAGCCCAGGAGAACCATTTTAAGCTGGAAAAAAAAAGAAAAATATAAGTGTTTCCCTTAGATTTCACATTTAAAAGAAATTATTTATGAGACAAAAGGAAAGAAAGGAGAGAGAGATTTTGACAGGGTCTCTGTCAGAATCCTCCTGCCCTAGCCACCATCTACCTGGGATTACAAGGACACACTACTATGCCTGAGGTGTTTAAGTGGAGCCAGGAACAAAATCTTAGCCTCCCATGTGGTCTCAGCTGTGGAGTAGGAGCATTTTAGGAGTATGCACCCTCAGAACTGAGCCTAATGTAGTCTATTAAACATTTGTTCTAAACTTTGTGTGAGATCCTAGAGATAAAGGGTTGAAAGACATGTTTGACCCCAAAGGAATTAACGATGTGGTGGGAGCACAAATGATTAAACCACATAGTTCAACTCTAAGGCAACGGCTGAGGTAATGGAAGAATACAAAGTACTTCTGGGGAAGATGAGCCATGGCTGTCTTCAAAGGAGAGCAAGGAACAAAGATTAGGGCATGAGAGATGACCATCCAGTGGGACACCAGACAGATGTCAGGCAAGGTTGAATAGTGAAGCCAAACCTGGGAGATTGAAATAGAAAACCAAACCGTGGGAGATCCCCCTGCCGTAGTTGACAAGGACAGAACGTGAACGAACTTACATCACAATGACACATTTGTTCACTTTCTTGAAAGTATGGGGGAGTCATGAAATGATTGTAAGTGAAAAGATGACAAGATTTTATAGAGATTTTGTATGAGTGTGTTAAAAGAAAAAAATTAAATGTAACCAGAGCAGAGGTGAGGAGATTTATGAAAACTTTTGCTGAGACCTAAGCAAAAATGAAAGTGAGCCCTTAGTCAAAGGAGCTGATAAGATGGCAAGGAGGGACGTGAAGTAGGTTATGGCAATAAGCCCAGGCTTACTCTACCCATGTAGTTTGGATAAATGATCACAAGTAAGTCTGGCAAAAATGCAAGTTCTTTATTTTTCCTTTCTTTAGAGAGATTTTTGCTATAAGGCACATGCACTTGCTGGACAGACAGAATGAGAGACAGTGAGATAGCACCTTTCCCCCAAGGGGGATGGTCACATTCTCTCATGATTCTGGGCATTGATGCACACATGCCAGGCTTGAGTTTTTTAAGTCACTGGGTCCAAGACTTGAACCACAGCTGACTATGTGAGAGTCCAGTGATGTAATAATTATACCATCTGCTGGTCCCAATAAGTTCTTCTTTTTAAATATTTATATTTTATTATTATTTTTAAACATTCCATCACTTTACATCATTTATATCATTTGGCTTGTAAAGAGAAATTACCCAACATGAAATGCAGCTCAGACCAGACCAGTAAGTTCTCTTTTAAATGGTGTGAGAGCCCTGTGGAATATCCAGATGATAATTGGAAGGCAGTATATGGAGCATCTGGAATGTGCTATGACTGGAGCATCTGGAATGTGCTATGACTGTTGAAGGAAGTAGCATCCATTACAAGAAAGGCAAAATTCCTGACCTTTTGGCACTTACTTTTAGTTGGAGAGAAGAAAGGAAACAACATATGTGAATGACTTATAGATTAGCCAGCAGCAACTGCTATAGACAATAAACTAGCATGGAGGATTGAGATTGAGAGTAGAGAGAACTACGGGTTTCTATTTAAACTGTGGACAAGACAAGGGCAAGTGAAATTTGAAGAACATCTAGAGAGAGGCACTGGATCATAAATCCAAGGTAGGAGATTCCATGTGATGGGAATAATCACTACAAAACTCTAGGCAAGCCAGCCACTGACATGGTGGTTAAAGCTGCTGGATCCCACATGGTCCACTGAGCAGTTTAAGTCCCATACCAGGAGGCTTGAAAAATATATGCTAGACATGTGTACTTGCGTAATCAAAATCCTGAAAGGGGAACTGGAAGAGAAAGGATAGCAGTGTGACCATCCCCTAACTAGGAATGCTTTCCTACTCTCCTTCTCCTTTCCCTGTCTCCTGTGAGTGGGCATGTCCTCTAGCAAATTAAAAAAAGAGGGGGAGAGACTCAGAGGAAAGTGTCTGATGTCATTAGAAAGCAGTTAAGTGACTGAAAGGGCAAGAGGGAGACAAGGAGAAAACAGAAACAATGTGGGTTGAATTTCTTACACCACCATTTGTTGGTTTGTGGGATCACAAACAGTAGACTCAACATTCAAGTAT